GGAAGTCGAGAAGTTTTCCAACCCGAAATGTGTTTGACTGGACCGGAATGAGAACACAGCCATTTCCAGCATGATCTTAATTTTAGCTGTGCTCCTTTATCAACAAATCTAAAGAGGCTCTAAAAGATGTAATGTAATATATATCTACCACATATAATAACAATCACAGCAGTGAAAGCTTTTGAAACGATATAAAAAATGGTGAAGATAATCGATCAATGAGACGTATTGAAATGTTTTATTCAAAGATACTGCATTCGTCCAATCAGCTCAGTAAATCATAGAACTAAGGGTGATTCAAATATGACACCCACTATTTACGGAGAGGGGTGGTCTTAGAATTCAGGACAACACGTGCCAAAAGTATTAGGAAAAGCGCGACGCAGGTGGCAGAGAGGTGATGAAATTGATATAGTGGAAATCGATGTAATGTCGGCCTAAATGCCCCTAATCTAGACCCATCCATAAATTCAGCAATCGACCAAATTTAAAATAGCGATCAAAAATATACATTAGTACCGTCCCAATGACGCGTTCATCTAGATAAAATTGATAAATAGCAGATTTTTAGCGATGGGCCCAATCTTAGATCCATAGGCCAACATTAGAGTCATTTCCCATTTATGCGGACTTCATTGTTGAATCGCCCTTAATAATTGGTAGCTGATTTTTTTGCACTACGCGTTGCTATGTGTGAGCTTCTTGATTATGCAATATCTTGAAATATTGACCATACCTTAAATTAGTGTCTTGAATAAATGTGTTCGCATGAGCATGACCTTCCAGGTGCTAGACATATAAGTTCAAAATTTTCTCACTATGTGGCCCAAGTAATAATAAGGTCTTCCGTTAGCTCTATTTTGAGAATTATCTAGGTAAATTATGATTTCAGTTTGAATATTTCCGGAACAGGAATAACATGAAGTGATCAGAAATCGATATTCGACACCGTTTTTTTTTATAAGGTAACAGTTGTTGAGAAATTTGAGACCCCAATCAATAAAAGATATATTGTTCCTGAGAGTTTCCGGATCCCTTGGGTCATTAACTTGAAACTTTAGTATCCCTATAAATTCCGATATATCATGTTTCACCATGTGCCTTCCGCGAAGTTCCATGCGTGAATCTAAACGCAGAGTCCTTTTTTATATTATTTTGGCCAATTTAGTTGAAAGTTTTTTTTTGTGATGATGAAACAACGAAAGCGCTTTTTTCAAACTAAAACTCAAACATAATTTCGGTGAAACTCTCACCACTCTTACGCAAACCAACACCACCACAAGAGAGGTAATGTTATTTTACGTGGGAATACTGAGAGTTTCACCGAAGCGAGTTTTTTTTTTTTTTTTTTATAAAAAAAACCACATTCATCGCTATGAAAAATCATTCTTGATTTAATGTTATAGAGCATTTTACAAGACGTTTGTCCCCAGCTAACTTTTCAATTTATTATTATCAATTAGAAATATCTTAGAATTAGTGAAGAATTCCGTTGTATCTTGGAAAATATTTTTTTATTCACAAGAGAAAATAATAAACGTTTAGAAACGAGACTAGAAATAGAATCATTTACTTTGTGCAGCTAGATTTTTGCTTTCAATGTACTTTCTTTTTGTCGATGGGCTGTCAGCTGCAGGATCAGGAACCAAAACTATATGCCCAGCTATTTGTGTTCTCGCAGCAAACCAGAGTGATCCAGAGTAACTATGAGTAAATCTGAATACAAGAGGTACTCTAATGAAAGCTGACTTCCCCTCGGTAAGATCCATTAAAAATTTCACGCGGAAATGGGAAATTGTCTACCCAAAAAATTTTGTATGGATCGTCACAGTTCCCAAACCGCTGTGGTTTCTGTGATGTTTGGTATCTCTATATAAGGTAAAATAGGTAGCAAAACAATAATCATAACTAGATGATATGCAAATTTATATGAAAGGTAATTGGATCAACGATATGTAAACATGCGCATTCAATCTCGACGACTTCTAATTCTGCATGTCAACACCTTTGACTCTCCTTTCTCTTAACCTTCACCTATGCATCTACGCTTCTATGTTAAGAATCAACTTAGCCCTCATTTATTTAAACACATATACAAAGGGAAGGGAAGGAAGGGTGAAACAGGGCACCCGATTGAAGCGATTTGTACGGGGAGAGTGGGAATGCCAACTCCCTGTTAATAACATTTCGTTGATAAAGGGCGGGCTTTTCTCCCCACTCATTGGGGCATCTTACTGTTTGGGGGCTCGTCTTTTTGACCAATTGTGCAATCATGTTGCTGGAAGGAGATTCTTTATTATCTCGTAGATGCGTATAGGTGACTTTGCCTATCGATCCACCCAATCCGTTTTAGGCCCTTCATACAGCAACATGTTGGGGGCAATCAGAGGTTATTAAGCTTGATCAAGACAAATATAGAAGAGAACCCATTGCTATCGAACTTAGTTTCCGTGCTACAATGGGTAGTAGACCACTATCATGCATGTTATTTGTTATATAAATTTCCTCTCCCATTCAAAGTGTTTTTATGTTACTTCATACGCGAAGTTAGCGATTTTCAGAGTTGGTTGGAAATGCTAACATGAAGTTTTAGTGTGATAATTTATTAGCAAGAGAATGATCTTTAGAAGAGGGTAGGTGGATAGTCGCATTAATGGCCCTTCGCTCATTTTCAACTTCTATTCAATTTTCGCACTGCCGTACTCTAACGGAACTATCCACCTACCCTCTTCTAAAGATCATTCTCTAGCTAATAAATTATCTCACTAAAGCTTCATGTTAGCATTTCCAACCAACTCTTCCTCTCTCATGTTTTTTTCTGTTCTCATTTTTTTTTAATCTTTATTATAGAGATTTTTAGCCGAACGCTAGTTCATCTCTCTTTTCTGTTCTCAGTAGTAATTACATTTTTCGTTCTTTTTCATGAGTTGCCAGTTTACCGAAAATTTAAAAGAGTCCTTGACTAGGGGGCTTGCCAATTGAGTTTTTTGGTGGGGAGAAAGCGGAAGGTATTTGACAAAAAAAAACTGTGCTACAGCAGAGTTTTTCTCACACTCCATTTTTTCCCTTGGTATTATCACATATATCGCATATACCACGTTTTTCAGAGTTGAGCAAGTTATCTGAAAACTTATATTTATTATTGATTTATTGAGCCGCATATGTCGACAAAACAAAAATATAATAAACGTGGTATGCCTCAGGGAAGTGTATTAGGGCTTGTTTTATTTATTATGTATATCAATGATGTTTGACGTATTTTATGGTTTTGAGATATCCTTTTTACCAAGGGAATAGTTAAGCATATAGGGACGATATAATTTCATCTATTATTAAATCTTCTTTATACGGATTCTGCAGTGAGGATCAGAGGAGACGAATGTACATTTTTTTCCAAATCATCGTCAGGAGCGAAACATCATTACTCAGTTTATTTTTCTATGTTTTTTGATATGTGCTATTGAAAAATGAAGGTTTATTAAAAAAAAAGTAAAACAATACCAAGTCAAATTCTTTTACAGCGAAAAGTAACCGCAAGTCAGTCCCATTAAGGGGGGAAGTACAATTAGAAGGCCTAAAATGAGGCCTATCTTTGAGAGTGGATTGCGAGTAGGGAAATAAATGAATGTTAGCGATTCTTTGTGTATGTTATTAAGGATTTAATGAAGATTAATTATTAGTGACATTTTTTTAAAATTTTGCAATTTAGCCCAATTATTATAAATAATGTGAAGTCAATTTTTTAAAGCAGCACTTCGCGCCGTGCAGTCCCTACGTCCATGATCACGTCTGAAACAAAAAAAAACAGGACATTAAATTTGAAGGTACAGCGCACAACATGAATTAATTCGTATGTAAAAATAATGTTTTTTTCACAAAAAAATTTGAAGTTAAAATTTTTTTTAAAAAAACCCTATTTTTTTCGACTTTGTTTATAAAAAAACATGTTATAACAAACAAATCTAAAAAATCTTTCTATTCATGTTGTGGAGAACTTAATTATGAACATAAAACAGAAAACCGGAATCGATTTGAATGAAAACTCTGACCTGTACATTGCACGGCGATTTTGAAAACACTACTTTTCAGTAGAAGCATTTAAAGTTCAACTTTGTCATGTTCAGCCATTTGACATGCACTCACTGAATTGCGTATAACTTTTTAAATAAGTTTGTAACAGTCCCTGTGGACTACACTGTTGTAACTCCATCTGACAGCATGTGGCGGCGCCATCTTTCAACCACTAGATAAAGTGCGACGTGCGTGTAACGATTGTTTTTTATGGCTCCACTCAATTAGAATTCTCTCACTTACGCAGACCCAGGTAGCAAACCGGATGTTTGGAGTATGAGTGCCAGCGTAGTGAGATGGCTCACACTCAGAGATATGGATCTCAAATAATAGCGCGGCTTGTACTGTAGGCGGGAATGCGATGGAAAAACCTCTTGATCGGGCTTTTCCAGATCATCACGGCGTTTGAGCAATTGTTCCGCCAACAAATGTATATTGAATTTTCTGCGACGCAATTAGCCTGGACCTTGATCAGGCGTTTTCAATTAGCCACACAATCACTTTCGTGAAGCTACGCATTCTAATCAGACGTGTCTATTGCTTAATACCAGTTGAACTGTACCAATTTATTTGAAAAGTGAGGTGAGCAGAGATATTAGATTACAAGTGAAATACTTAAATTAATAGTTATTGTAGTCTTTTCTAGTTCATTACTCATTATAAACCGTCGAAATCCGACAATTAATTGTGAGAAGAAAAAAACGCAGGTATGTGTTATCGCGTGGTGTATGAGAATTGCAGAGATTAATTTCGTTGCGGGGTAGTTTTCCCTTCAACGAAGGGTTTTTTTTTATATATTCTACGAATCCTCGACGAGTGCATAGGAAGTTATCACGTGATTACCGTGGATCGTGAGATATCCGGTGGTTTCCATCCGTTCGTGACCCCAGAGGGTGAACGAGTTGTCGAGCCCTAGTTCATCAGATAACCCCACCCAGTGATCCACGCTTTCCGTCACTGCCACTCATCCGTCGAGTGAATCGACCGCTCGTGAACGTTATTGGAAATCGAGCGCAAGTCGACCCATTGATCGAATCGGAATCTTGCTGACTCCCACTAAGCCAAGTGTGGTTGAGCGTCGGCCTCTCGTTTTTCGACACTGCTACGTCACATTCGCCGACTCCCACCAAGCGATCGCTCTGCAACTTTTCCTCGTCGTAGAACACCGCCTTTGTCGCATCGTGATCACTACGCATCGAGCAACGTCGCAGCATTATTTGTTCATCGGAACGGCGTCCACAGTGCTGTAGTAAGGGCAGAAGACAATAGCCTCGAAACTGTAAGTTTAGAATAGATAATTTGAGCTCAAATTTAGGAACCTTCCCCAGACCAATGTAAATATTGTTTTAACTATGAGAAGTTCCCTGAAAATACAAATGCTTCTTCGCCTAGTGGATTGTGAAGCTTCATCCTAACTACGGTAATATTAAGAGTTTGTTCCTTCCTTTCCGCATATTTTGTTTCCCGTTTGGGTAAGCTAGGGAAACCGTAGTGTTTGAGCCACTTAAACTCGCCCTCAGACCGAGTCTCATAGCCGGACCGGAAAACGCGTCAGCAGTCTCTCTAGTCAGAGAGTGGCGCTTAAGCTGCTGTTCGTTGTGTGCACTACACAAACGTTACATTTGGCGCCCAACGTGGGGCCCGAAAGTGGGCAAATTTGTCGGAATTTGGAATTTGTTGAGAATTTCTATTGATCATTTGATTTGGTTTAAAACATTTATTTTTATTTTTCATCAGTTGGATTTATTGAATTAGAATAAGTAATATTTTGAATTATCTTGCTCTTAGTTGTTGCTGTCAACCGCTGTTTTCGTCTCTTTTTTCGGATATTTTGAATTGAATTGAAATCCTTAGTGCTAAGTAATTGTTACAGTTTCAAATAGTTTATATAGTGATTAGTGATTTACTTTGATATACTTGATTAAATTTACAAGTGAAATGGAAAACTTCTACATAAATGCTGATGCGCTAGATGAGGAAGAAGTTCAATACGAACTGATTCTTCGAGATCTGCCTGTCGGGAGAGACGCCGATAATCGTCGAGTTTTGAGATATTGGTTCCGTGCAGAAGGAAGTAACGAGTGTGCCACCTCGCGAACAATTGGGGATGAGTACCTTATTGTTTCGGCAGCATTGGAGCGGATGGAAGAGATACTCCAAACCGGCTGGACGGTAGGATGCCGCTCCCGTCTGGTGCATTATTACCGACGACTTCGCAGATGTCAAGCAGTTACCGCAAAGGAACTACAAACGAGACAACGCCTGATCGACTTCGTATGTCGACTGGCAACCCGTTTCCTGCAGCTTGATTTGACGAGGCTGGAGTTCGCGATCCCCTTTGTGAACCCTCCTTCAGGGATTCCGTTCCAGCAATCGTCCGATCTGAATAGGACTTCAGGTGCACAGAGGACGCTAGTCACACCACCCAATTTGCCACCGATGTCAGAACAAGAGCAGGAACAATTCAGCGAGGGTGCAGTCGGTGGTGATGACGATGCAGATCCCATCCACGAACAACGCCTTACTTGGGCAAAACAGGTGTTGCAGGATGCGTTATCGAATACGCCATTGCCTAGGACCCGCCAGTCGATGGACAGCCGGCTACCAGCGCCGAACAACTTGCGAGAGGAACTGGAGCAAGCCATGCGTAGGAGATTTTCAGCGGAAGGCACACGGTTGCCATTCCGAGACGTCCCAAATCCTACACCAGTGACTGGACTGAGAGTTGAGAATCCGTTGAATCCGTTTACTACCTCGATGTTGCCTTCCTTCGATCAAGGTCTAGCACACGAACCGATGTCTACCCAACCCGATCCCAGATCGTCACTTCGACCAGAGCGACCTCAACCGTCAGTGCATTCGTCTTTTGCTCATGTAGACCAACCGTCGAAGGTGCAGGAAAGGTCGGACCATTATCGCAGAGCTGAAGGAGTACCTCGTGTGCCTATCCAAGGTCAGGCGAATTTGAACCTCCAAGAGTCGAGAAACGTTTCATCTGAAAGTAGAACACAAAATCAACCGGATACTATGGAATATGTCCACATTTCCGAGATCGAAACTTATGTGCAAACCTATGTTCGACAGCTCCTTAGCAGCCAGCCAACCCGACCAATAGTTCGAGACACAATAGTCAACAACCTAGCACGAGAAATTGCAGATATTGGTCTTTATGACCCGGAAGTATCTCGTATGTCCAGACCGGAAGATTCAGGTACACATGCACCTCCCGGCGTGTCTAGACTTTCTCCGCCCTTGCAGCTACATCGAGAACAGGTCAATCCTTCTGAAAATAGAAGAGAAAGAGTTAACGAAGAAACGCCGGGAATATTCCGGAACTCTCAACACAATGCTTGGCCAAATTTTGCAGCCCAGGCTGATTCTACGCATTATGGTGATGCAGTTAGTGGAGACCCTCGTAATGAGCCAACTGGTCGTTGGAATTACCCCCCTGGTCCGTCGGTGAATTCTTCGCGAATGAACCCTGGAATGCAGACCCAATTTTCCCGTGGGAGGTTGCCTCACCAAACATGCAACATCTTGGAGAAATGGCCGAAATTTGCCGGGGACGCAAATCCGGTACCCGTAATAGACTTCCTCCGTCAGATTGAACTGCTATGTCGATCATATCAAATTTCCAAGGAAGAGTTGAGAACCCATGCTCATCTCCTCTTCAAGGAGGATGCAGCTGTTTGGTATACCGCGTACGAACCAAAGTTCAACTCATGGGATACATTATTGTATTATCTACAAATGCGATACGATAACCCCAACAGGGACCGATTTATCAAGGAAGAACTACGAAACCGTAAACAACGCCCGAATGAGTTGTTCAGTGCATTCTTAACGGACATCGAAACGCTGTCACAAAGGATGATTAAAAAAATCACGGATGAGGAAAAATTTGACATTGTCATTGAAAACATGAAAATGTCCTATAAACGGCGTTTGGCACTTGAAAAAATTGGATCCTTGGAACATTTGGCTCAACTTTGTTACCGATTTGACGCTCTGGAAGGAAATCTTTACAATCCTCGAGGTTCAATAAAGCCTCCAGTGGTCAACGAAATCGATTTGGATGAACAGGATGCAATCTACGTTGAGAATGATACCGATGAGTTGGAAGTAGCGGCTATAGCGACCCGTAGGACGTCATCAAGCAACACGAGAGATACGTCAACGCGGAAAACTGAAGTAACCGACCGACCAAGACTTTTGTGCTGGAATTGTCGGAAATCGGGGCATTTATGGAGAGAATGTGACCAGAAAAAGGCCATTTTCTGTCACATGTGCGGGCATCCTGACACCACTGCGTTTAGATGTCCTCAGCAGCATGACATCCGGCCGGCCTTAGAACCTAAATCAAAAAACGATTAATGGAGGAGAACTTTGGGAACCGACCTCCTACCCAATCGAATGAACAGGTTCCCCAATCCCCGTTTTTTCCATTCAACCATACTTGCATGATTAAAACGTACTTCCGCCGATGCCCTCATTTAACCGTTTCGATTCTCGACAACGAGGTCGAAGGACTTGCAGACACTGGAGCGAGCGTGTCGATTATCAGCAACCCTCACTTGATAGAACGTATTGGATTGAAGATCAACAAATGCGATATGCGAATACGAACTGCCGATAAGACGTCTTATTCATGTCTTGGCTATGTGAATATCCCGTATCGATACAAAGATGTCACGAAAATAGTCCCTACGCTAGTGGTCCCGGAAATCTCCAAGAACTTGATCTTAGGAATCGATTTTCTGAGAGCCTTCAATTTTCGGTTAGTGGCCGATCCAAATCAGGATTCCGACATTGAACCGGACTCGAAGTCAGTTGAACAAGGAATTAGTCTCAACTACGTAGAGAATTATTTCGGAGACGACGAAATTCATATTTGTTTCCATTTGATTCCATCTGAAAATCCGAACCCAACCATGGAGCCTAAGGAAGAAGACGAAAGCCTGGAAATGCCGACGGTGGAGATTCCGACGAAGACGATTAGGTACCCAAATGAGATTGAAACCGAGCATCAGTTAACCCCGGATCAGCGAACAGAATTGTTTCTAGCCATTCAACATTTTCCGATGACGAAAGAAGGTCAGTTAGGCCGAACGACTCTGTTGAAGCACTCCATTGAGCTACTGAGTGGTGCTACCCCGAAGCGTATACCCGCTTACAAATGGTCCCCTGCAGTAGAATCAGTCATTGACGCGGAATTGGAGCGGTTATTAGGCCTCGATGTCATCGAAGAATGCGAAGGTTCAGCGGACTTTATCAATCCCCTACTGCCGATCAAGAAACCAACTGGGAAATGGAGAATTTGTCTTGATTCCCGTCGGTTGAATTCATTGACGAAAAAGGACGATTTTCCGATTCCCAATATGACCCTAATTCTCCAGCGAATCAAACGAGCGTGCTTCTTCTCCGTCATCGACTTAACCGAGTCGTACTACCAGGTCGAACTTGACGAAAATGCGAAAAATAAAACGGCCTTCCGCACCAATAAAGGCCTGTATCGGTTCAAAGTCATGCCGTTCGGTCTGACCAACGCTCCGGCTACCATGTCTCGCCTAATGGTCAAGGTTCTTGGGCATGACTTGGAACCTTTCGTCTACGTCTACTTAGACGATATTATAATTACCTCAGAGACTTTGGAAGAGCACCTCCGCCTCATAAAAATTGTCGGAGAACGGTTGGCCAGAGCAGGATTAACTATCAACCTCCAGAAATCCAAGTTCTGCAAAACCAGTATCCGATACCTCGGCTACGTGCTGTCCGGAGAGGGATTGTCCATGGACGCCGCCAAAATTCAGCCTATCTTGGATTACCTGGCACCTCGTACCGTGAAAGACGTACGACGGCTGCTCGGCCTCGCCGGATTTTACCAGAAATTCATAAAGAATTATTCAGAGATCACGGTGCCAATTACCGATCTTTTGAAGAAGGGACGCAAAAAGTTTGAATGGACAAAAGAGGCCAACGATGCATTTCAAAAGTTGAAGGAGGCCTTGGTGTCTTCTCCGATCTTAGCCAACCCGGATTTCTCGCAAGCCTTCATCATCGAGACTGATAGCTCCGACCTAGCTATTGGGGCTGTCCTGGTACAAATTCTCAACGGAGAACGAAAGTGCATTGCATATTTTTCGAAAAAGTTGTCGAGCACGCAGAAAAGATATAGTGCCACGGAGCGAGAATGTCTTGCGGTGTTATTGAGCATCGAAAACTTCCGGCACTTCGTTGAAGGCCATCGCTTCATAGTCCAGACGGATGCAATGAGTCTGACCTTCTTACAGACTATGAGTATCGAGTCGAAAAGTCCACGGATAGCGCGATGGGCGTTAAAGCTTTCCAAATATGACGTAGAATTGCAGTATAAGAAAGGATCTGATAATATCTCGGCAGACGCTTTGAGTCGTAGTTTGTATCTATTGGAAAAGGACCTTCCAGATCCATACCTCGATGGACTTAAACAACAAATTGAGCTGCGACCGGATCAATACCGTGACTTCAAGATTGTTGATGGACGAGTCTTCAAATTTGTGACAAATTCAACCTTAGCTGAAGACCCAGCTTTCCGCTGGAAAGAAGTTATGCCGTTGCGTGAAAGGAAACCAATCATTGAAGCAACCCATAACCTAGCTCACCTAGGTTTTCTAAAAACGCTGGAAAAAATCCGAGAACGCTACTACTGGCCACGAATGGCTACTGAAATAAAACGTTTCTGTAGCGGTTGCCAAGTTTGCAAGGAATCTAAAGTTCCGAACTTAAATGTTAGGCCCCCCTGTGGGAAGCCTAAACTATGCGGGCGACCATGGGAGGTGATCTCCATAGACTTTCTTGGACCATACCCCAAGTCCCGGAAGGGTAATATTTGGATACTTGTCATCTGCGACTTCTTCTCGAAGTTCGTGTTAGTACAGTGTATGAAATCCGCCACCGCTCCTGGAGTCTGCACTGTGATGGAAAACCTAGTCTTCACCTTATTCGGAGCCCCATCTGTGTGCATTACAGATAATGCCAAGGTTTTCCAAAGCAGCATGTTCAAAAACCTATTGGCCCACTACGGTGTGACTCAGTGGAATCTTGCGGTGTACCACCCGAGTCCGAATCCTGCCGAGCGAGTCAATCGCGTTATTGTGACCGCTATACGCTGTTCGTTAAATAAACAAACGGATCACCGCAATGGGGATGAGTCAGTGCAAAAAATTGCAGCAGCGATTCGAACCAGTGTTCACGAGAGCACTAATTTCACTCCGTATTTCATAAATTTCGGTCGGAACATGATCAGCACTGGGACTGAATACGATCACCTTCGGGATCTGGGTTCCGAACCCGATTACGATCCACCACATCGGAGCGAAGAAACTCGGAAACTGTACGACCTAGTTCGACAAAATTTACATACAGCTTATCAACGCTATTCACGACCGTATAACTTGCGATCCAATGCCAAACACACCTTTATGCCCGGCGACAATGTTTACAAACGTGATGTACATCTATCTGACAAGTCCAAGTATTTTGTAGGAAAGTTTGGAACAAAATACAGCCAAGCAAAAGTTCGTACTGCCTTAGGAACCAATACCTATGTCTTGGAGGATGAGAACGGACATAGAATCGCAGGCACTTTCCATGGGTCTTTCCTTAAGAAAGCCTAGACTGAAAATGGGATCACTGTTCTCTCCCCGTATCAGTGATCAAACAAAACTTTAGCTATGACTGCACTTCGCCGGAAAGTGCATACACTACTAGATTGCTAAACACAAAAAAAACACACACTTCGTGGTGCACGGCTTCGTCACGACTTGAGATGTCCTTTGGTTTCCTCATTCGGTGACCCTTGTCAGTTGATACTGATATTGAGCTCTATGCGAAACAAATCGTAGACCCACAGAACCACAGCTATGACGGTGCATCTGCCTGATGCACATAAACAAAGAAGACACCACTGCCTAAAATAAAACACTCTTGAAGGTGCTACGGCAACAAGTCCAACGTTCGAGAAGTCCTTGTGTTCCCTCACGTTGTTGACAAAATCGGCCTCAAAAACAACAGCAACCCTTTGTCGTTGGTCTATACTCTGCTCGATCAGAAAGAGACCTTGAACGACCTTGAACCCGCAGGCCTAAACCACACCAGTTTAAAAGCTCTTCGCTGGATAATGGGGCTCTTTACAAAGAGAGTCAACCAGATTATCCCACTGCGATCATTTGTAGATCAATGTTTTCCATTTGTTATTTTATCAAATTGCAGTTTCTCCATATAGTTCCTTTTTTCCGTAAACCTTATTTTCATTGAATTCCTTGTTGATTCCATAAAATTCAGCCAGTTTGCTAAAATAAATAAGAAAATTTAATTCAGGATAAATACTTACCAACTTATTTTTCAGTTTTCTTTGTTTTCATGACCAAGCGTTGACAGTTATTAACAGCACTTCTCGGCTCTCACATCATTTTGTTTTTTTTTTTTCATGAAATAGCGTAACGTATGACAATAGGGTGACTATGTTGACTTTAGATTGAAAATAGGGCGTGAATGTTTTTCGGTTAGCGTAAATTAGGATTTGTTTTCCAATTGGTAAATTGGAGTTATTCGGATCAATTAGTGCAAGAGAAAAATGTTTTCCTGAAATTACAGGAGTTAGTCGGTTGACAATTTGGCAGTTTTTCAGATATGTCTGAAGTCATCGGTCATTTTATATAAGGAATGAATCAGATAAATGGATTGTTCAGTTGGCAGAGTAAGAATTGGTAATAAGCAGAAAAGGATCAACATAGTTAACCTTTTATTTAATTCCAACAGTAAATTCAAGAGATCAAAGTTGTTTGAAAACCAAATCAAATGAATTCGGTTCGTTGTAAAAAAATATTCGGTACCAAATAATTTGTTTTTTTTTTGTAGAAAATAGTTAATAAAAATTTTGAAATTATTATTTCAAAATTTTTATTATTTTTTAGTATGGGCGAATGTAACAGTCCCTGTGGACTACACTGTTGTAACTCCATCTGACAGCATGTGGCGGCGCCATCTTTCAACCACTAGATAAAGTGCGACGTGCGTGTAACGATTGTTTTTTATGGCTCCACTCAATTAGAATTCTCTCACTTACGCAGACCCAGGTAGCAAACCGGATGTTTGGAGTATGAGTGCCAGCGTAGTGAGATGGCTCACACTCAGAGATATGGATCTCAAATAATAGCGCGGCTTGTACTGTAGGCGGGAATGCGATGGAAAAACCTCTTGATCGGGCTTTTCCAGATCATCACGGCGTTTGAGCAATTGTTCCGCCAACAAATGTATATTGAATTTTCTGCGACGCAATTAGCCTGGACCTTGATCAGGCGTTTTCAATTAGCCACACAATCACTTTCGTGAAGCTACGCATTCTAATCAGACGTGTCTATTGCTTAATACCAGTTGAACTGTACCAATTTATTTGAAAAGTGAGGTGAGCAGAGATATTAGATTACAAGTGAAATACTTAAATTAATAGTTATTGTAGTCTTTTCTAGTTCATTACTCATTATAAACCGTCGAAATCCGACAATTAATTGTGAGAAGAAAAAAACGCAGGTATGTGTTATCGCGTGGTGTATGAGAATTGCAGAGATTAATTTCGTTGCGGGGTAGTTTTCCCTTCAACGAAGGGTTTTTTTTTATATATTCTACGAATCCTCGACGAGTGCATAGGAAGTTATCACGTGATTACCGTGGATCGTGAGATATCCGGTGGTTTCCATCCGTTCGTGACCCCAGAGGGTGAACGATTTGTCGAGCCCTAGTTCATCAGATAACCCCACCCAGTGATCCACGCTTTCCGTCACTGCCACTCATCCGTCGAGTGAATCGACCGCTCGTGAACGTTATTGGAAATCGAGCGCAAGTCGACCCATTGATCGAATCGGAATCTTGCTGACTCCCACTAAGCCAAGTGTGGTTGAGCGTCGGCCTCTCGTTTTTCGACACTGCTACGTCACATTCGCCGACTCCCACCAAGCGATCGCTCTGCAACTTTTCCTCGTCGTAGAACACCGCCTTTGTCGCATCGTGATCACTACGCATCGAGCAACGTCGCAGCATTATTTGTTCATCGGAACGGCGTCCACAGTGCTGTAGTAAGGGCAGAAGACAATAGCCTCGAAACTGTAAGTTTAGAATAGATAATTTGAGCTCAAATTTAGGAACCTTCCCCAGACCAATGTAAATATTGTTTTAACTATGAGAAGTTCCCTGAAAATACAAATGCTTCTTCGCCTAGTGGATTGTGAAGCTTCATCCTAACTACGGTAATATTAAGAGTTTGTTCCTTCCTTTCCGCATATTTTGTTTCCCGTTTGGGTAAGCTAGGGAAACCGTAGTGTTTGAGCCACTTAAACTCGCCCTCAGACCGAGTCTCATAGCCGGACCGGAAAACGCGTCAGCAGTCTCTCTAGTCAGAGAGTGGCGCTTAAGCTGCTGTTCGTTGTGTGCACAACACAAACGTTACAAGTTCCGGACGGCTTTATGCTTTTAAAGGCTCATTCCCAGATACATATAGAGTAAATTAAGCCAACAAATTTTTTTTCGAAAAAAAAAATCTAATTGTACTTCCTCCCTTAAGAAAAAAAAAATGATTTCATTATATAAACTATAAAACAACGTCACAGCTATATTCTTAGGTATACTTTTTCCCATCACGGAAATGCCTCGTTTACTGATGACAAAATTACGCATAATCAAAAAAAGCGAAAACTGATTGGAGGAATTTCTTGCTTAAATTTCCCTATTGCGAGATATTCGCGATCAATCATATAAATTCGAGATTTGATTTTGTTTTTTTCTAGCGAGAATTTTTATGTAGTACCACTTCAATACTGTTACGCATTTGACCATAAACGTTTGGTTGCTTGGTACATTACCAAAGAGCTTTGGGGGTGATGTGGCTGGCAGCAAGGTGAGCGAACGTTCAATGAAAATTAACTCTTAAACAACAATAATTTATGGTGGTCCTGAAAAGGGCCGTTTTATCGTGATGGTTAAGTAATGCTGAGCTATTGGGGTTCAACATAGATAAGGCTGGCGAGCTGTATGTTGTTTGGAACGAGGATGACGCGCTTGGCATAGATGGCCCACAGCAACTCACGAAGAACTACTGAATCCGATCAGCAGAGATGCCAGATGGTTTTTCAAATTGTCGGTTTGGAAAATTCCTCGACTTCCTTGAGCATAGAGTATGATTGTACTTGCCATACAATTATACAAATGCAAAAATGGTACAGGCATCGAAACCTCTCAATTCATATTTATGGAATGGCATCTAGAACACTAAGTTGAAAGCACGCTATAAGCTAATATGCGATAAGCAATAAGCTTGAAATGCGAATAAGAAAAAGAAAGAAACTATAATTAAGTTTCATCCGTTTCTCTAAATTTCACTGAGTTTTTCTGAAGTCCACGGACCTTCTTTCAAATTTAGGAAATTTATCTAAGATTTGTTGGCTCTGTAAAGTTTATTCGAATGAGCCTGTACAAATAAAGTAATTAACAAAAAAAAAAAAAATCTAAGATTTGCTAGACTTCCCTGGAGTGCACTAAATTTCCACGAAGCTCTCTGAACTGTTATGAAATTCTCTGAACGTCTCAGAGAAATTTCTAAATAATCAGGATCCTAATGAAAAGAAGAAGCTGCGAAACTTGAAGATCTTCTGAGACATTTGGCGAACAACTGTTTGGTTCAGTGAACTTCAGAGAGGTTCTGAGATCTTCGGGAGTATTCAGGGATGTGATAAGGTGGAAGTTCTTAGAGGTCTTAGAGATTTCAGAGTTATGAAAGGTTACCAATACTAAAATTCGTTCTGGGAACTACCGAATATTCCTTCTGTGCTCTCATTCTAAAAATTCAGAACATCTGTCAAATTGATTGCTGTGTATATTTGTTCAAAGTAGGTCTTGATTTGTTCTGATACTATATGTAATGTAGTAAAATTGTGATTTTTGATATATTAGCTGGTCATTGGCTCCGAGTGGTCACCATATGGTTCGCAGGAAGATCCGTTCATACTTTTGGAGTCTTAGACAGCAGCCTATCTGGAGGCGGTTGACTAGGTTTTGGATTTGAAAAATATTAGATACATATTGTAGCCCGATAGTGTTAAAAATATAAATAAGGATGATTTTGCCTAACCCGTAAGATGTATTTCAAATCTCCGCGTACATCGTACGGGTTAGGCAAAAAGGTGTGCGTTTGACTTTGTACTGTTGCATTAATGGCCCTTCGCTCATTTTCAACTTCTATTCAATTTTCACACTGCCGTACTCTAACGGAACTATCCACCTACCCTCTTCTAAAGATCATTCTCTAGCAAATAAATTATCACACTAAAGCTTCACGTTAACATTTCCAACCAACTCTGAGAATCGCTAACTTCACGTATGAAGTAACTTAAAAATACTTTGAATACAAGGGACAGCCCTATCGGGTTGTACGAAATGGTGACGTAGGACTACGTGGCCTTATATAATAAATGTTATTTTTAACTGCAGCAGGAGCTTGTGTTTTGTGTAGGAATAGGAATTTGAGCGGGCTTCTCTCTGTTAATACTTTTTAGTATGACTGGTATGGCCCTGAAAAGAACCTTTTGATATGAATTTTAGTTGGGACATGTTCAAAAATTTAACTCTTTTGGAAAATATTGGTGGCCCTTAAAAAGGACGATGGTAGTACAGGCTTAAAGCCTCTGGAAGATGATGATGACGTGTAGACAGCTGGATCAGCAAATCGGACCGGACAATCCCATATTCTTCGGTTCAATGAATGGGCACTCGCAAGAGTCTCGGCCCGTCTGCAGCTGGACAGGGGTTGGTGTCTGCGACAGGTTGGAAAGCCGCAGCGAGGGAAACCTCAACCTGAATGGGCACTCGGAAGATTCTCGGTGCGACTGTTACTGGACACGGGTTGACTGGGTGGCTGCGATGGGTTGAAAGGACACAGTGGAGAATGGGCACTCAGAAGAGTCTCGGCCCGGTTGCTTCAGGATTAGAAGCTTGGGTGCTACCGTTTTGCTGGATTCTTTTGCTCATAGTCACGATGGTTCTACTTCCACGCAGGGGTAGTTGCTTTGTTGGTTATGTGAGTCGTTGAGATCATCAGATGATCAGACCAGAGATACGTTTGACACCGCCACGGCGAGCCAGACGACGGATGGCGGGCTTGGATGTTATCAGGAAGAACCTTGCGATGACGCTTGGCGCCTCCTTTACCAAGACCATTTCCTCCTATGCCACGACCAGTCATTGTTGCTTGTTAGGTAGAAGAGTGAACTACCTAACCTGCCACCACCTTCATTCTGTTGCTATTGCTGTTATTGCTGCTTCTGCTACCTGTTCACCACGCCGTCCGAAGCGAAAATGAGTTGGGGCTGGACAGCAGCGCTTTTTTATTTCTTTACAGGTTAAAGGAGTATGATCTACAACCAAGTGGTACTCAATTATGACGATTGGGTTTGGGAAGATCGTTTATTTCATGAAAACAGTGATAAAATTATCTCTTTTTATTCGTACATTGGACAATGCTTGACATTTACCAATTTTCAATAGTTTTTTTTGTTAACAGTCGAAAGCATAGACATACTTCTGATTGATAGGTGATAAAATTATTGAAATTGGTCCAGGGGCAGCTGAGCTATTAACGTTCAAAATCTTTCATAATTTTGTTACATGTTCCATTATTGATTTTCACAAAGTGTACCCCCATATAGAAATCACAGACGTAGTCCTACGTCAAAAAGTTATGATAAAAAAAAAACAATTTTTATGGAGTACTACCGTTTGTACTCCATTTTCACCCTACAACTTCGTCCACTTAAGATATAGAAAATTGTCGTCCAGGACAAAGTTTGTTAAAATAACTTCGTCTACAATGTTTCCATAGATGTTCATCAATTTTAACAAAACATAAAAAAGTTTAAAGAGATAAAAAAGTTCTTATTTCAGTGTATACTCCCCTTAAGTAAAATTTTTCACCTCTCAAATAAAGTTCTCAAAAAATGAAGAAACATTTTAGAAGACATCAAAATGCTACACTGAATAGTTTCGTCGCAAATGACCATGTCCCACTTTGCGTCGTCATCTTCGACATTTGAGCATTTCCTACTATCAAAGGTGGGAGAAGACCCAGCTTCCGGTTGAAAATCTCGATAATAAAGACACACACACCCAAATTATCAAAGCCATTCTGCGGCCTGTTTATTATTTCATTTATTGGTTTATCAGCATTCAATTCTGAATTGCACTGCTATTTAAAGTTGCTCACTAAAGATAAAGCGCATGGTATTCTCATATCTGAGTGTTTGCAAAAAATATTTTACCCGAATTTAGGCAAAAAGTATTCCGTGTGCTATCTTTAAACGAAGACAACATGTACAGAAGACTAACAACTACAAAGCTTTCTTATACAAATTAAGAAAAGACAGACAAATTCTCACTATTTATAGCTAAATCCAATCGCTCCAATCGAACTTGATAGCAAAGATGACAACCTCAAAAGTAAGGTTTGTGTATTTGCTCATTCATCAAAATGCTAGCAAAGTTGCCAGTCTTGTTGATATGCTGTTTTCGATTTAAGAATAATTTATTGGAATTGCTTTAGCGGATCTTTTGAAAATCTTCCCGGCCGCGGCTCTCACAACGAACACAGATAAGAATGCAGGCAACGAGTAGGCTTTCACTTGCAGTGCTATTTTTTTTAAACAGCAATATGAGAAAATTACTTCAGCAATTATTTTGTTAAGTTTTGAATTATGAATAATTAACCAATACATTACATGTTCTAGAAACAAATTTGGCGTTGAATCATGCTTTCTGCATAGAATGACAGATATTACAATGTTAAATTCAATGGGTTATACCGTTTCAAGTAAATCACGCGAAAAAAATATAATTCGGTTGTGATAAAATCAAAACTTCACTATACATAAAACCCTTATAAAACCAAAATTGTTACGTGGGAAATGACGGCGGCGAATAAACGTTATTATTTTAAGTTGAAGCCTCCATTGTTTTTGCCAATTTAAAATGATTCGAAGTATCCGTATCGCACTGCATCCCGGATAACCCCGAGCATCCGTTCCTGGTAGACGGGTTGTGATTTTTCGTCCAGCTTGTAGGGCAATTCGTACTCTTCATGGGCCATCTGACGGGCGGCCGATTCGTCCAAATTTGGCATATCTTCACGGGCGATGCACATCGATGGCACCAGGAAGGATCCCATCAGCACTCCATACCGACCGACCTGCTTCATTTGATTCTGTAGCACTTCGTAGGGGTAGTCTTCCTCCGGATTTCCTCCCAACTTCCGGAGCAAATCACCCATCGCCCGATGGTAGATTTGCTGCATTTCTTCGTAGTGTAGCTTCCGGAACGCGGCATCCGTACAAAGAAAGAACAGATAGACCAGATCCACGGCAGGTGCAGCACGGCAACCTAGTTGCCAATCGATGAGGATCAGCTCCGACGGATGACGGTTGTCCTGAAGAAGTCGAACATTAGAGGACAAATGAAATCACAAAGCCTAGAACAACTCCTACCTCCCCGTATCTGTACATAAAATTATTGATCCAACAGTCGCCGTGAACGATTGCATTATACGGTTCAGCCTTTCCAACATCCAAGCACCTCTCCAACTCGTGAACCACGTTATCCTTCAATCGGTGTAGCATTTTTAGCTCAGCCTCGTTCAGATCTGGAATCTCCAGCGCCAGTTTCAACGATTCGCTTATTAGATACTGACAGTATCCGTTTTTCTTAAACAGCGGAATGATCGCATTGGAAACTTCGAGCGATTCGTATAATTCCGGCTGATCGCGCTTCATGGCAAAAGAAATCGCGTGAAGTCTCCCCAGTTGAACCATAGCCAGTTTCACGTGTTCATAGTCCAACGGTAACAGCTTATCATACATTCGGAAACCGCGTGGTGCCAAATCTTCCATGACTAAAACCGTCCCTTGATCCATGGAATCGTAGTACGCTACGTACGATACCGCGAAGGCCGCAAAGCCATCTCCCTCGGCGATCCCCTTCTTTCGTTGGTACTTTTCAAACTCGGGCAGGATCGTCCCGTAGAACCACGGCTCCCGTTCGAACATGGGTGAGGCGTCGAACTGTTCCCTCCTGGCAGGACAAAGTGGAGGAATCTTACAAATGAAGCTCTTCTCCATCGATCCTTCTTGTTTCACAACCGCCCTAAGCAGCTGCCCTATGAATCCATCTTGCGAGTTGCACGGTTCAATTCGGATTTGAACACCATCTCCGTGGAAACCGCACTTTTCGGCAGCTTTGCGGACTGCATCCAGAATGAATTGAGGAACCGTTTCCATGAGTAAGACGCCTCGTCTTTGCGTCGGTCAGCAGAGAACTAGCCTCGGTCTGGCAAATTCCGTTTCGCGAGCTATCATTGTGCAACTGCAAGCACGACGCAACAAGTGTTTCCCTTCTTGCACTCACGTGTAGGTATCGTCGGTTTGATGGAAGCTGGAACATTTATGACCAGTTTCTGTAGATAATTGCTGCTAGCAGGGCTGGGTACGGTGTCAAGCTATTATTTATTGTAGGGATATGGCACTGCGGATAACATGTGTTGGTGCATACCTAATTTCAAATGTTAATTGTTTATCAATTAATCGGAAATCAGGGTGGTAACTCAACCGGGAGAACCGGGAATACTGTTTTATTTACTTTGCTCAACCTGTGTATGCAAACTGAATTGAACATTTAAATTTCTTAGGATCTTCCGTCACAAGACAGTCGTCCTTTGCGTGAGAGGAATTTCTACAATTCATACATTTAACTGGCATGTAGCATTTTTTTTTATTCCGTGACCCCATCCCTGACACTTATGGCACTGGGTAAGGTTTTGGAAATTTCCTCCTGTCTTCCTGAAGTGTTCCCACTTCACTCGGACATGGAGAATATGGCTAGCTTTTCTCAGGCCTTAAGGTTGTTTAGTTCATTAGACTTGAAGTGAACTAAATAAAAATCAATAGAAATCCCGTTGCGTGAACCGCCAGGACGGGATTTCATTTTCATTTTGATTACTTGGATTGGTTCAACTCCAAATAATTATGTCAATTCATCTTTGATCTGATCCAGGGATTCACCACTGGGCAGACCTTTCAAGATAACCTTGAACAGACGTTCAGGGTTGGTGTCGTAAGTATGCTGCTTCTCAGTTAGATACTAGAGAAGACGTTGGAATCCGTCCAAGGTTTCAGCCAATACACGGCATTCACCCCGACGGCCAATTTGAAGTGAAAACGTGAATTTAACCAAGTTCAAAAGTTCCGTGCGAAGAGCATGGAAATCGGAAGTGGTCATCACAATAGGGGGGACCTTTCCCTTCTTGGAATTAAGCCGGGAAAGTTAAGTGAAATTTTGCCTGGATGATCCGAGAGAATATCAAATTGATTGCTCAAATAAATTTCATCAGAAGGAGGATCAAGAGATTGCCCTCTTCTTTTGTGTTTAGGCAGTAAAATGTTTCTCCAAATCGACTTCCAAGCAGCTTACTATAAAAATCTGAAGGATCGAAGAGGAATTTTCCAAATCGATATCCAAGCTGGATTACCTCGCGTAGGGTCCAAACAAGGATCGAAGCGGAATAAGAGTCGAACAAGGTAGACATTTGCAGTTAATATTGAGCAGTGAAATTTACGTTCGGGAGTGCTTGAATCGGCGTCTGCGGCCCATGATCCGTCAACATGATAACGCAGTTCTATTTTGGTCCGATTTGATGTCAATGCACTACTCGAACGACACGGTAGCTTGGTACAAAGTAAACAAAGTGCAAAATTGATGAATCATCCGAAATGTCCGGAGGCCCGATCAATCGAAACTTTTTGGACCCTTTTTCAATGGATATCTACGGAAACACTTTAAGGCAGCGATTTCAATCGAAGAATTTGAAGAAGAAAAAACTGAACAAAAGTGGCCTAAAGCATCGCCAAGGAATCTGTGCTGAAGCTCATGGACATACGATTAAAAGAAATGTGGATTATTGCCATCCAATTGAAAGCGAATGCTATAGAGAACATACATAAGAAATTTAAAATTTGTGTTCATTAACATAACTTTGTTTTATTCCAATAATAAGCTGTGCTTATACTTTCTGGGAGTTCTAGAGCCATCCTACAAGTGAAAATACTCAATTCAAGCGAATTTTATTATCAAAAATGAAGCTTACCAAAATTACCTTAACCTATAAATTTCAACAATTTACATAAGGCATAAGGTTGATATAAGCCATAGTGGGCTGTTGTCATGGCTAATTTGTCTTGTAAAATCAACCATTTGTGGACGCTATCAATCTTGTCCTTAAACGCTAAAAAACTTTAAAAAGTAACAAAAGAGTTTTTAGAACGCCAAAAAGAGCAAAAATAGCCTTTAAAATGTCAAAAAGGCCCTAAACGATAACACTTCTAATTCTTGCCTCTGCTGTTTACAAATCCAAACTTATTACAAATAACCTAACCTAAACACATCCTTAAGAAACCCGTTCATTCGGGCATGGTACTTGACGTCAGTGGTTTCGCTAGTCCTATTACCATTCTCCTTGTCGTTCCCTTCTTCCTGACCAGCTTCTTCGGTGGCCTTGAAAATTGTCATGGGAATATGCAGCACTGCCAGCGTTATCGCATATTTCGCCTGAGTCTTGATCAATCTCATCAAGCTAGTCAGAGGAAACCGCTCCGTAGCATTCTCCCCTCCCAGACGCTCCAGGTGATCCATCAGGGCGTTGTGATACGTTTGAAGCATATTGTCGTAGTGATTACGTCGAAACGACTCGTCCGTGCTCAGGAACATAAAGTGCAAAAAATCCAGCGCGGGTGATCCATACTTGGCCAGCTGCCAGTCGAGCATGACCAGTCGGTTCGGGAAACCACCCTACAATCGAAACAGATTTCAATAACCTTTTCCCACTCAATTCCCACCGTAAAAAACTTACATTATATCTATACATCACATTACTCGAACTGTAGTCCCCGTGGCACACCACGCAGAACGGTTCCGTCAGCTCACTATCCGCCACCATGTTCAGCTCCTCCACAAAGCTCAACTTCAGCCTATTCAGCTTATCCTTCTTGGACACCTCATGAACACTCAACGTGTCGATCGCCTGGTCGAACGACAGTTCCATCGTCTCCTTGAACCCATCCATCGACATAACTCGATTCTTTGCTGCATCGTCCAGTTGTTGGAAAACTTCAAACAGTTCCGGGTGTTGTTCCTTCAGGGCCATCGACACCGCGTGAAACCTGCCTAGCTGGATCATGGCCAACCGCCCGTGATCGTAATCGATCGGTTCGTACTTTTTCTTATTGCCGAACATTCGCCTTCCAACATCTTCCAAAATGAGCAAACCTTCGCGTCGCTTCGCATCAAAGTAGCCATAGTGACAAGCCGGTGCGTAGATAAACTCCTCCGTCCCTGGCAGTATGTCATGCTCCTGCTGAAACTGGACAAACGTGGGGAGTAGGCGTTGGTAGGCGAACACCTCCCGCTCGAACAGCGCCAACAGCGCTTCGTCTGCGTCCGGCGGTGGAACCTTACAAAGGAGCGGCACCTCGCGGGGTTCCTCCCGCAGGGTGATCTGGTAGACTACGGAAACACATCCGGAACTGTAGCTACCGGTGCGGAAGTCGTAGTCCACGGTGAAATTGCTACTGAACTGAAGACTACTAGCGGCCTTCTTGATGCCATCCTGCACGTATCGGGGTACTTTTGACTCGGTAGTCATAACGTCGCGTCAGTTGGATGGGCGTTGGTAGACTGAGCCACTAAGTAGTCCGATAAACGTACGCTTCGTTTGCGATAAGATTATGGCTATCTCTGCGGTCGCATTGCAAGTGTGTCATTTTCAATCGGGGGGTTCTTCCATGGCATGTCGGTGTTTACTAACTGTTTTTTTCTAAATTATAATTCTCTTTCTCTTTCAGGTCGAAAGCTTGGACGAGGAAAATGCACGTGTCGTGGTTCGCTTCTCAATCGGCGGCAATCAGGAGTCCCTCAATGAGTACCTTCTCCAGTTGGTGTCGAACGCTGAGTATAAGAAATACTCGAAAGTTTTGAGTAAGTTTTACCTCTTTCTGGAGCGATAAGTTGCCAGGCAAATTTAAAATGTCTAATGCCGCTTTCTACAACCCTACAGATAATGCCAAATACGAGGAGTTCAAAAATCGCACCACCAGCGGTGGTACTGCGGTGGCAATCAAAGAGGAAAAACCAGACGTCCGTAAGACCATCAAACGAGAACCGTCCGATTCACCTCCGGCAGCTCGGCCTACCTCGTCGTCGAAACCGCAATCTTCGCGATCGAATCACGATTACGCTCAACAGCGCGATCGTCGGGAGCGCTCTCCGGTTACACGCGTCGAGGAACACAAGCGCAGAGATCGTGAGGATCGTCTGGAGGAGGAACATCGCCATCGTCGTCCCCGCGAGCGACGAAGTCGGTCACGGGAAGATCGTCGGCACGATCGACGCCGTGGTGCTACCAGCAGTAGCGATGACGACTCGGATTCAAACGAATCTGATGAACGCGATCGCGGTCGGCAGCAGCAACAGCATCGTCAGAAAACCTCCTCGTCGTCATCGTACGCGAGGACGTCCTCCGGAACGAAAAAGAAATCCCACAAATACAAACAGCGGCGGGATCATTCGCGGGAGCGGGTTCACTCGTCCGACGAGGACGATCGACACCACAAGAAGAAGACGAAGAAAAGCAAGAAACAACGCAGCCGATCGCGAAGTCGGCGGTAGATGTGGTGGGGTGGCTTAGTGAATAGTGTAATAAATTGAATCCGATGCTCAGAATAAGCAAATGAAGCTGATGGAATGATCCGAAATTTCCCTTGACGATTGAGTAAGTCGGTAAATAGGTGAGTACCAAATGACATAGGACAAGGGATATAACAGCAGAGATGGATGGCTGCGATGTGTGGGAATGGCACGAGTTAATTAAAAATCATTTAAAATGTTTGGTCGGTGTCCAAGTTTGTAGAATTGCAACGATGCAACCGGGAGTGAGCAGTACTGCAAGTTTGCTGCACGAATGTGCGATCAAGCGTTGATGGTGAGTCTGTTTATATATTCGATTGAATTATTACCTATGCGGAAGCAATAACATACGTATCGCTTTATTAGTTATGATGAAACATTAAGATCATTTGAGAGTGTACACACTTAGATTAGTCAGTATTTTTTAACTTTTTAAAAAAAAATTTAACGGCAGCACAAGAAGCCATCTGGTGGAGAGGACTACGGCAGGAACTATCAGGGCAAGACGGAACGATAGCCATCTTTTGCGCCAACCGAAGTGCGATTCACCTTGCTGAAAGAGATGTCGAATATTCACCACGCAGGAAGCATATCGATATTCGACATCACTTTGTTCGTGAGAAATTGGAAGAGAAGATTATCAATTTGGAGCACGTTGGCAGTCATCTTCAAACAGCAGATCTTCTAACAAAGGCGGTGCCGGTCCCTAAACTTGAAGCTGGACGACGAACAATAGGGATTGGTAGAATTCTCGGTTAAGGGGGGACGATGGAAAAGTAACCGATGAATTAGCTACAAGCTGTAGTATGCCATGATAATATGTAGTAACGAATAAATTTAGTTTCAATTCATCAATCACACCAAGCAGACCTATTCACTCAATAGTCCCATTAATTTCTATCATTAAATGGAGTTAACAGAACTAAGTCTGTACAAATTCGCCGTAAATTTTCGCATTTTTTAATTTTCCACAGGTTTTTAAACTTTTACCGAACAGTTCCGCAATTCAAAAACCCAGTAAAACCTTACTGACTGGATTAGTGTGTACGTACAATGAGAAAGAATAGCTAACAGTGAAGTGCATGGCTTGAATGGATAACACTAATCGGAAAAATTTAGTCTTTTTTGCGCCCTTCAACCAAATGTACTGAATTTAATAGATTTTGGGTCGAAGAATCGAAATATCTTCTTCTTCTTCTTCGCATTTCAAGCTTATTGCATATCGCATATTAGCTTATTGCGTGCTCTCAACTTAGTGTTCTAGATGCACTTCCACAGTTATTAATTGAGAGCTTTCGATGCCTGTACCATTTTTGCATTGATATGATTGTGTGGCAAGTCCAATCATACTTCTACGCCCAAGGAAGTCGAGAAATTTTCCAACCCGAAAAATTCCTAGACCGAACCGGGAATCGAACCCAGCCACCTCCAGCATGGTCTTGCTTTGTAGCTGCGCCTTTACCGACTGAGCTAAGGGAGGCCCCAAGAATCGAAATATGCCAGGTACTCAATGTAGCCCCAATGCTGATTTGAACAAGCAAACCGCTATTGGAGTTCCATTGAACCTGTTGATTTTGACAAACACATAAATTAATAAATGTACTAGCTATAGATGGGTTAGCCTCACGTACAGTTTTTGAAAAAAAAACCGGGATTAAATTCACAAAGAAGAATTAAGTAGGCTGTGCCGACGAACGGTCGTGATTCCCCGTGCTGAAATGCTTTTAATGAAGAACAATCCCCATTTTAGTTTTCGAGAAGCTGTACATTCTGCGTACCATCTAGGTCGTTACGGAACCAACCGTTATGGATCAGGTAAAGCCGGGACTTTTCCGAGACCTCTTCTATCCCGACAATCTCATCTGTGAAAAATAAGACGTTGCTGACAATTTCGCTCTGAGAACCCTTTCACATCGGGAAGCAGCCGACCAACAGAAAAGTTTCCAGTTTATTAACGATTTCTCGCGGTTTGAATTCCACGTGAAGTTTACGGACAAGTTGCATTCAGCAGGTGAGTTCGTTCCAGTATAATCTTTTGTTTGCCACATACTTAGGTAGGGTATGATTTTCAAACACATGCTTGAGTATTTCTGGGAAAAAATATTAAGATCTAAACCAGGCCGTTATTGTAGAGAATCGTAACGAAAGGAACTCGGGCGTAATGGTAAGGAAAAAACCAATAAGTATATCACAATTTGACGTTTACTTGATCCGGTTTGAAAAACATTGTTAACTGCGAGGACGTCAATTTATGTGAATAGATTTTTACCCGGGCTTGAAATATCGTCCGTCGTAGCTTGTTATGATGTAAATGGGGCGGTGGTTTTAGAGCAAGCGTTTTTGCTTGCTGAGCAGAAGATCATGGATTAATACCCAAGCCTCTTTACATTTGTGAGTTGATCAACCCCGGGAAAATATGTATTGATATATCACGGGCGGAACGCCACGGGAAAAAAAAAACTACAAGGGACAGCCCAATGGGGTTGTACGAACAGTTGACGTAGGACTACGCTCACATATGTTAACTATTTTAAACGAACGTTATTTAAAATTCCCGATATTATTATGACATCCGTGAATTTCTTCCGAAGTGTAATAATTGGTCAGTGTCGATTTCCGTTTAATACTAATAAGATTCTTTTTCAGTTCATGTGTAATTATTCTTGTGTTAGAAAATATTCCAAACCAACCCTTTCTTTGAAAATTGTGGTGGCCCTGAAAAGGGCCGTTATGATGGTTTGTGGCTCTGAAAAGAGCCGTTTTTATGTTGCATGGCCCTCAAAAGGACCGTTTTGGTGATGTGGTTTTAAAATGAACGGTATGTGAGGTGACGTTGTTGTAAAAGGATACTGTGAACACCCATTTCAAAAGGGAAGCATCCTACTGCCACTACTGTGTCGTCGGTGGCAAAACATTAATCAAATGATCAACCATATTCAAGAATTATTCAGAAACTTACAGCAGACAACAAGGGAAACAAGGGGCGATGGTACGAAAAGTACGTAATAAACCTTTCGGTTGGCAATTCCGGTATTTTCCTTGGCCTTGCAAACACAAAATCGATGCATGTGCCACTAGAGTGATGCAAAATTTGAAAGTTTCGCTCCACAATACTCAAATGATTCCAAATCGGATCCTGACTAACCTCTCAAAATTAGAACCCATTTGGTGAGAAACTCAGATGACACAAATCATTTGAAGTTTGTATGGGAATTATTATGGTAAAACCAAGATTTTTGTTCATGTCTATCTAATAATTCACCATATCGGTCTGCTTCAAAAGTTTTCAACTGTACTTGTAGGAAATTTTCCCAGCTACAACTTTGCTCAAGACCACTTTTTAATTAAATGCAAGAATCGAAAGTTATCAATGGTTCAATGCGCTGATGTCTTATGATCATGCTCAGTCAACTGCTCAGCAGGCAACATTGGTGTTTCTGGGGTGTTGAATAGGACACACAAATCATGGCTACTATGTCACACTGCAAAATACAGTGTTGCCTACAGAGCTGCTGCATGATCATGTCATAAGTTTACCAATCTCTTAAATAATTAATAACATTTTCCTGTCTCGTTTTACATAGAAACAATCTTCAGCAAAGCTGTAGCTGAGAAAGTTTTCTATAAGAATGGCTATCGAACTGCTTCGCAGCTCAATATGGAAAAAGACTAGAAGGCAATGACCAAAAACTTGAGATTTCCCATAGTAATTTACATGTAAACTTCAAATGGCTTGTGCGAAGTCTGTTTCTAACCAAATGAGTTGCAACTTTGAGAGGCTAATCAGGACCCGATTTGAAACCATTTAAGCACTGTGGAGCGAAAAAGTCAAATTTTGCATCAGTCTAATGTGCCACCCAATGTAGTCGGCAGCTTACGGTCTGATACGAGATCGAGTCGCAGAAAATTCTTTATAAATTGGACGAATCCGACATTCTCAGCTTTCGAGACGTCTACGTTGAAATCCCCCGCAGGTGGTTCCAGAAATTTCATTCATGCCAGTTTAGTAGAACTCCTAAACCATTTCTTTTGAAATTAGTTGCTTGGCGTCTTCAGAGTAGGTAACAGCGTCACGTATGACGTTTTCCAGCAACACCTTCAGCACACCTCGGGTTGCCTTGTAGATCAGACCGGAGATACGCATTATCACGACGAGCCTGACGACAGTCTTGGAAATACCCTGTAAGTTATCATGTAAGCTTGGCTCCTCCTTCGCCTAGTCCTTTGCCTCCTTTGCCACGTCCAGGCAATGTTTACGCTGTTTAAACTGCCTTCGGATACGGTTGACTGGTAATGGATGCGAAAAACTTTCCATTTAAGTCTAGAGAGCGAGCTCAATACATACTGACCTGCTTGACGGTCTAACAAAGAATGATGCTTATTTTGTTTAGTTTAAATGATCTTTATTTTAGTTTAACTTGGACGATTACCATATAAATTTTTACTAAGTGATTTAATTGCTTTCTTCATCTTTAGGTATGGGCAAAATTCAAAATTTGTTTTACAGAATTAGTCCTAGACTTAGTACACGGTCGACCACCTTGGTGGGATTGGTTTGTTTTGTTTTTAGAATTTGAAGAGAAACTACTTAATACTACTATTTACAGCTTAAAACTAACCTACTCTACTATATACACTTAACCTACTATGTACAAATTGCTTATTAAAGCATGTTCAGAAAGATTGCATTTTTGAATAAATTTAGTTGTCATATCATCAATTTTGGAATCTACTTTGGGAATTTCTGCCTCTTGATGGAGGTCTGCTATTCTTGTGTCGAATGGACGATCTAGGATCATCCTCAACACTCTATTCTGTGCAACCTGGATTTTGTTCCTGTGGGTCTGAGCGCACGATTCCCACACCGGGGCGGCATAGAAGATCGCGGGGGCTATGATCTGTTTGTAAACAGCCAGTTTGTTTTGCCTTGAGAGGCGGGATCTGCGGCAAATGAGCGGATACAAACACCTAACCAAGGCGGAGCACTTAACTAGGGTTTTCTCTATGTGCGAGCGGAACAGGAGCTTCTCATCGAACAACATCC